GCCCCCCCCCCCCCCCCCCCCCCCCCCCCCCCCCCCCCCCCCCCCCCCCCCCGCCCGCCCCCCCCCCCCCCCCCCCCCCCCCCATGATAATAAATTGAACAAAGCTAGCTCGGCTAAGGACAAGTAAATCCATTCGATCCTTGACGCGTTACGGCGCTTCGTGGGGGGTGGGAAAAGGACGTATTAACGTATAACCCTCACGAGACTAGGTGCAGAATGTAGGATCCAACGGAATACATGGCACGTACATAATATACCTACCTACCTACCTACCTACATGAACATACACACGTGAAGAAAGAAAAAAAACTTGGAATCGAACCCCATGGTATGTATGATCTAGACCGGGGGGAGGGAGTAGAGAGAAGAACAATATGTAATAATGCAAGGAAGACGAACAAGTACCTAAGAAAATGTCCTCGATTTGCTAGTACTACGTTGCCGTTGATGATAGTAGTAGTAGTAGCAGTAGTGGTGGTGGTGATGGTGATGGTAATAGTAATGGTGGTGAAATAAAATAAAAATGTTGGCACCATAAAAAGTCTAGCGCCAGAACGGGGAGATGAAGGGAGGATCCCGCAAAATGTCATTCAGGGACGGCCCGCATTTTACGCAGGTTTCGAACAGGGGAACAGGGGTGTATATGAGATGAACGTACATACATAGGTAGGTAAGCATCAAATCGCCCGATGGAGATCGAAAGGCAAGTAAGTCATCGAGGGCCGGGAATCCTACATTGTACATACATACATACATACATACAGGCCGGCCAGTCGGACAGGCCAAACATGGGTTAATTTATCGATGATAGCCTCCTTCCTCTCTGGCCTAGTGTACCTAATGTAGATGAAAAGGTAAAAAAATTCCCGGTTGTATTATAGATCGAGTCACTTTCGGGGGCCATTATTTTAATGCCGATGTCACACTCTCACTATGAGATATGAGATATGAGATACCACCTATACCGGGCAAGGCTCTTACCGAGTATGGTATAGGTAGGGCTACCCAGACTTTTTGTCCTCTGCGCAACACCCTTTTTTTTATTTTTTTATTTATTTTTTTTTTACACATACCTATTAAAAATGTGACACCTTTAGCCTTTAGATAACGGGCTTGCTTCGGGGATGCAACATGTCATGTTCTCGACCCTCGAAATCTGCAATCTGCAATCTTGCCTGCAGTAATGCGATCCCGTAATAGCAACCAGAGATGCGTCCCTGCAACGAACCATCCGGGCGAGATCCGCACCAAGATCAATACGACCGAACGACCCCTAACGACTCTTAACAGTACCCGGTCATAACTCCTTTGCATAACATAACCAATTTAGAGGCTAACCTCAGTTGTTGTAAAATCTTACCATTTCGTGTTGAGTGTTGAGATTAAGACAAGGCTCATGCGGTCACTTCCCCCTTTTAGAATTTAGAAATAAGCACATTATCTGGGCGCCTATCTGATTGCGTGCAGAAATTTCAAGCCCTGGATGTCGTACCTGACAGATCAACAAGCCTTTCCCGTGTGTTTAGTCTATGTATGTATGTATGCATGTACCAATAGGTAGTACCAACGCTCATCTGTCGGTCCTCGGTCGTCCGTATATTGACCGGATGACTACCCGCATATGTAGTAAACAATGGCTTGAGAATCAACATGTTATGAAATCGTCGCACGGCAGTGATAAAACAACCTCAGGTCGACCCTGCAGCAAGATGCTCGGCCTTAAGCAAAGCAACGCAAAGCAAAGCAAAGCACATGGCTGCCACCCAAAGCGAAGCCCCGACATCCGACGACGCAGTTTGAATACCTACACGATAAGCCGCTGGCTTCTGTAGTAATACCACCATACCGTTATGCCGAACGAGACGGCGTGGCTGCAGCCATCTCAAGCCTTTTTTTATTTAGCGTAGTCCGAGATCGGGCCAGGGTGCGGCTCTAAGTGACTATCCCGACGAGACACACCTCGCAGATACTCTATGTAAGACTCGGATTTTGGCTGATTAGCCTCCCTGATCCAGGTGTACGTGTAAAATATCTGCGTTTCGTCAGCATTGCAATGGAGGCATCATCCTCATATACAGGCTCGGCACTAGGATTCGTAAGGCAATAAAATTTGCGCTCAAAGTTCCGGCGTCCCGATGGAGGAGTAAGCCATTATCTAGTTTCAGTGTAATCGACATCAATTATGCCTCGTTGAAAGTCTATACACGCTACAAGCCCGCCGAAGAAAATCGTAGCGAGCGTAGATCAACGGAACCTACCAAATGATCATTAGATCAATATTCGATTCGAATACTAATGTGCTTAGCGAGGTTAGCCGTAAGACTACTGAGAACCTTCATACGTCAACGAGTGCTTAGGTAACAGGGTTCTCGTATGACGACATAGACCAGCTATCAATCGAAGTGGAAAGAATTCCAGACGTGGATCATCTGTCGTAGAACTGTAATATCCGTTTCTCCCTATGACAACCCAAAGTCCCCAGCAGCGATATATTTGTTTGGAAGTGCGTCAGTGACACTGTGAATGCATTCCAAGGAGGAGATAAGCCAAGACGAAAACCCAACCCGTGGAATGGAGCAAACAAGCGGATGGAGCTTCTCGAAATTTCCCAGTTGCGTGGGACTTGGATTTTAAGACTCACTATTCAAGCAAGACTAAGTCATCCTCTGTGGATCTAGCGGAGCCGTAGAGGATCCTCTTCGCTCCCAAAGCCAACTAATACTGATGTCAAGTATCGTGGTTCTGGACGGAGTCCAACATGTCTCGTACCATGGCTCCCCATCGGCGATACACAATGTACGACGGGCCACATAGGTAACCCAAGCGGAGAATTAATCACGATTTGAGACTGTTTACGTGGAACGACTAGGAACCCATCCGATTGAATATGCCCTTCTTCCATGACCTAAGAAAGGCTCTAAAGAATTGTGTATTACCCTCACGGCAACGGCTGTGACTAATGACGATCCTAGGAAGGACTAGACCAGTATTAGGTGACGCCTCATCAGTCGAGTCGGGTGTATGAGAAACACAAGACATGTGTTAATAGCATCGGGACCTTCCGCCATTGGTACGGTTCAGGAACACATGCGACGAGATCGCGGAGTGCTCATCTTGTCTCCTCCAACGTTGTTCCGATGCAGGGAATGAAACAAGTTCCACGCTAGAAGAATCCGTAGAAGGAACACGAGCGAATGAGATGCGCCGACGAGAAACTAGCCCGGCATATATTTCATTGTGTGCCGGAGCCCGGGACCCGCATTCCTTTTCGAAAGTGAAGTTAGATGGAGAAAGCCCGCTGAAACGTGGCATAACAGAAACCCTAAGAAACGTGCCTTGGACGTGATAGTGCCAAGGTTTAAGGCAGAGGAATGGAGGACCCTGAACCCGTAAGACTAACGATTTGAAAGCCCGGTCTCGGTGGGTTCTCCTATGTACATAGACGTCCGGAAATCTCCATGGGCTGACACGTCGACGACGTGGATTGGCCCCTCCGACAGAGGCACTTACGGCTTCTGGAATCTTGGACTCGGTAGCCCGCGAAGAAACAGTGGGCTTCTTCTCCTTATGCTGCTGCTGCTGCTGCTGCTGTGGGAACGCCCCCGCAACCTAGCACAAACCAACAGGCCCCATGGATATGCACATGTCAGGTCGGACGGGCCACGGAAGACAATGCCGGGACGGGAAGGCAAGGGAAGAGGAATCAAGATCTCACGAACACATACATACATCTCAAAATGGTAGGCTGGGTGAGTACGGAATACGCCTCAAGAGCTCCAATTGAAGATGACGGGTTCGGCTGGATGGAAGACGCTATGTAACGCTAGAAACGTCCTCGATACCGTAGCATTGAGATAAAAAAGATATATCAGTTCCCGATTTTCATAGGCTCCGTCGTCTCGGATTGCACGTCTCTGAGAAGAACTGGATGGAATGTTTCCAAGGTTGCCGTGCGTAGGTAGGTATCACCATTCGCGCTAACGGCACTTGGGATATTTGACATGCCAGGAACATGGTTGGATAGACGTTAGGAAATATCCCGAGAAGCCATGGGTGGTCCCTGCTCTAGCGAGTACCTCACATAAAGACATCAGTTGCAGAGAGGTGCATGTATCCAATGTACATAGAGGCTAGCCTAAATGGTGAAACTTGGGAAGCCGTCCTCCTTCTTCGATATCGCACGGCTTAGGCACTTTGCGAGATGTTAGGCGGAATAGTGCCATAACCGGCGAATGAAAGGGAGAGGTACCGCTTCCGGCAAACTAGCTGCGCAGGTACACGTAGGTGAATAGTGGAGCATCAGGCTATTAATTTATGCATGTACCATGGGCAGTAAGAGTAGCAACTTCACCATAATGATGATGACAAGGACGAGGCCAGCTTACCTAAACTTACTGTACTGGAATAAATATGGTACCTGCTAATGTTGTTATTATTGGATTGGGGGGGGGGGGGGGGGGGGGGGGGGGGGGGGGGGGGGGGGGGGGGGGGCGGGGGGGGGGGGTGGGGGTGGGGGGTGTGGGGGGGGGGTGTTGTGTTGGTG